GTGCTGACACGCAACATCGAGATTCCGTGGCAATTCAATTTTCTCAGCCACTGGCTGCACGAGAAGTCGCTCCGCGTGCAGCTTGACGGCCCCGGGAATAATCTTCGTCGTATACAACTGCTTCTTTTGCTCCGTCAGTACATGATCGGCTTTGCAAGTTACCTCGTGCCCCAAGTAGTTCATGCACTGGACCCCATCAGCAGCGCAGTACCTCTTCATCCCCAACTTCTGAGTTTTCTCCTCCAGGTCCTTCGTGGACACCTCGATGCGGATGGGCGCCCAGCCCTCGCTGCTCGTTCCTTCTGCCGCCGCTGCCGTTGCGACGGTGTACGCCTGCGCCGCACCCTGCCCCCTCCGCGGCACCTCACGCACCACCGCAGCCGCCGGCCGGCCCCTCCTCGGCATCGTGTCGTCGAACACCCGGCGGCCCGCAGCGGCGCGGCACACGCCGGCGCAGTGCATCGCGAGCAGCAGCAGCAGCAGTGGGAGAAACGGCGCGGCGCGGAGTCGGCGGTGCATGGCGCGAGAAAAGCGTGTGTGTGCCTGAGTTTGGCGAAGGACGACTGCAATGGTGGCAGCGCAGCGCTTGTCTGCGAGAGGGGAATGAGAAGAGGGGGAGGAGGAGGAGGCAAAGCCACACATCCCCGCCGCACCGCGGCACGACGGATTTTGGCGCCTCCGCCTCCAGGCATTTACTCCCGTCCGCCGCACGCACGGCGCTGAGCAGGCAGCATTAAAGGGGAAAAGACAGTCGATTGAAGCCAAAAGTAAGTTGCCCTCTTCCTTTGCAGAGAGCATCGTACACACACGAGCTGCAAAACGTGTGCGGGCACACAAACCACAAATACAGACACAAGCAAAGAAATTTAAAACAAAAACAAACCCCGTGAAGCGAAGCCGAAGCGTGGGGGCGTGTCCACCGAGCAGTGGGGACGCGCAGCAACACGTGGGACGAACAGCGCACACACACTCTCTCTGTTCCCGCACAGTCCAATCCAGGAAGAGAGAGAGGAATAGAGGTCGCCCACTGAAAGCAATGGAAACAAACAAACAAACAAAATAAAAAATGACAAAAACAGTTACGGTGCTGCACCCATGCAGCCAAGCAGGACGGCAGCGGCTCGTCGGGTGCAAAAGGAAGATCGACGGGCCTGCATGAGTGGAGTTGTGTGTATATACGAGCACATTATGTGTGTGTGCCTCGTGGGGTGCGACGAGGGCGAGAGAGTCCGTGCAGGGGGGACACACACACACAAAGCGAGAGAGAGAAACAGCGAAGGGCGAGTTGTGTGTGCACGGCCCTCTCCTTCGCTCAGTCCCTCACGCGGCCAGCATCGCAGCGGCAGCCGCACACGCAAGCAGAAGAAGCAGCGCAAAGAGGGAGGCGGAGTGCGCGGCCGCGGTGCTGCTGCCGTCACTGTCGCCGGGCGCCGCCTTCGCTGCACTCGTCGAGTTGGTGGTGGTTGCCGCTTGAGCAGCCGCTCCCGCTGCCGGCTGAGTGGCTTGTTCTTCTCTCTCACCACTCGTTTCCGTTTCCTGCTTGGGTGCGGTGACGTCGGGCTGCTCCTGCCCTCGCTGGCCAGCTTCGTTTGTCCCCACGGAACTCCCCGGCTGCGGCTGCACCGCGGGGCTGCTGCCACCGCCAGTCGTAGTCGCTGGGCGACTGACCCCAGTGGCGGTGTCCCCTGCTGCTGGCGGCGGCTCCTTCTCGTTGCTCGTCGGTGTACCAGCCGCAGTTACACCTTGCTGTTGGGCTCCTGGGGCCGCCGCGGCAACAGTCCCTGCAGAATCTTCGGCAATCGCCTCAGCCTTCTTTCCAGTCTGTTCGCTTAAAGTGCCACCGCCGCCCGAAGGGGCAGTGAGTTGAGGTGCATCCACTGCCCTTCCATCCGCTGTATTACTTGTGACAGATGGGGCCGGCACGGCTTCTTTGGGCTTAGCTTTCTCTTCACCGCCGTCAGCTTTATCATCACTGGGCACACTGTCCTCGGTACCATTTTCCTTCGAAGGAGTCTTCTCCAACGTCATCTCCTTCCCTGTTCCCACTGGCCCTTCAGTTGATGTTAGCGCTGGCGGCGTTGGTAGTGTCGATGTTGCCTCTGTTTGCCCTGCAGTATGTGCCGGTGACACTACAGCAATGGGCCCTGGAGTGCCGTGGCCATCCTTTCCAGTGGCTTCTTGCGCCCGACTGTTGGCAGCAACCCCGTGAGTTTGAGAGGTGGTCGGTAGAGCTGTTTCCGGCTCACTTCCAGCTGACGTACTGTTTGTGGCTCCCGCTGGGCCCACGGGTTCTTTGCTGTCCAACTCAGTGCCGGTGCCCACCTCTTTTTTGAGGTTATCTGCTTGCGACTGTGAGGGATCTGTTGCCGTGCCTGCCGCTGGCGAGACTCCTCGTGGTGCGTCTGTCCCCTTCAGGCCTCCCGTTTCCCCCGAATCTGCAGGGTTTTCTCTGATGCACCTTCGGCGCTTTCCCCTGAGGCTCGCGGGACTTTTCTTTCGGCATCGCCGCTCCCTCCGCCGTGGCCAGGCCCTTCCCCCTCCGCCTCATCATCGCCCTGCAGACTCGCCCGCAGCCCACGCACAAACTCCGGCTTGCGGCCGCAGTACTTCGCCACAATTTCCGCCTCGCTCATGTCCTTCGCGACGGCCCGCAAGTCCCTCCAGTCGCGCTCCGTGCAGTAGTCCCCCTCCGCCGCCCAGCCCCCGCCGGCGGCGCAGCACAGCACGCAGAGGGCGCACACCAACAGCGCACGGCCAGCCATCGCCACACTCCTCCCACCGCAGCAAACACACACGCACACAGCGTCTAGCGAGGGGCATAAATAGAGAGAGAGAAAACGGGACAAACACACACACAGATATGAGCAGGCCGCGGAATGGGTGCATTCAACCAACACACACACAAACAGAGAAAGAAGGAATGACAGAGGCATCGCCGTCCCGTTAAGGAGAAAAAACAGAAGCAACGGCAGAAGACGGCTTTGTGTACGTTCCTCCACATGTGCCCTCTCGATAGCCCG